TACCCATGCCGTACAGGTGTCTGACATACTGGAGGCTGGTGGGCACGGCCAGCTTCAGCAACATAAAGGCCAGCTGGGTATTGGCAGGGAGGGCCAGGTGCATGCCGGTGTCCTGCCATTTCAGGTGGGGCAGGAGCTGCTGAAGTAGGTGCTAGAAGGTGGCCTGGGTTATACACAAGCCGTCCTGCCACTGCTCATCATCCCAGGTCTTCTGGATGACATGCAGCCACCAGTGCTGGCTGGCCCAGTGGGTACAGAGGTGGCAGGGCTGGAGGCCTGGGAGGGTGATGGTGGCTCCAGTGGTGGCATCATGGAGCCCCTAGTCGACATCCCTGGCAGTAGCCCTGGAATGGCATGCGTCAGGTGGGCAGGCGATTGCTGGTTGTGGGGGAGCCACAGCAGGGCGAGATGGCTGTGGGCCAGGCAGCAGTTGGCACAGCAGGCCAGCAGGGCAATTGTGGTCAGCAGGATTGCCAGGCACTGATCGTCGCTGCTAGGGTCAGGGGCTGGAGTAGCCATAGTGTGGGGAGGCAGAGTGGCCACAGAGAGAGCTGCCATGTGCTGCCCCTGTTCTTGGCACATTGCTCCTGGGCAAGAAAGAGGCTAAGCAGAGAGCACAGTTGGCTTTAAAGATGGCTGCTGGGTGCTGGCAGCTGCATCCAGAGCCTAGAGTTTCCCCTGGTGGCCATGGGGGCCTATTGCAGGGCTTCAGGGATCTGGGAGCAAATCTGATCCCTGCATGTGTAGACATCTGCCCCAAAACCCTCACTCTGGCTTATCTTACTGCACAGTAAGTCTGGGCTAGAGTAAATGCATGTGAAGATACGCCCACTGTGGCCTGCTTTATCTACTGAACTATTACATCTCTGCAATTAAAAGTAATGACCTGTGGTCCTAATGCTCTCTTAAATCAAGTCATAATTAAATAAACTTGCAAAGTAGGTGTGAACAGTGTCCTTCACTGAACAAGGCAGACAAGGTTCTTTGGGTAAATGTGATGTCTTTTATTAGACCAACTAAATAATTGGAAAAAATGTTCTTTACAAGCTTTCAGGCACAAACTTCTCCTATGCCTGAAAAGGGGTGTTTGTGCCTGAAAGCTTGTAAAGAACAATTTTTCCAACTATTTAGTTGATCTAATAAAAGGTATCACATTTACCCAAAGAACCTTTTCTATGTCCTTAGATCAACACAGCTATAACCAACAGCCCTTTCACTGAACAAGTTTTATATGAGTCATTTTTATTTCAGCTTATTAATGATAGCTTGGCTTTTGATATCTTAAGAGTTTTAATAACATTTACAATCTAAGTTGTACCTGCTGCTGTGGTTCCAGACCCTGTTAAGTTGATACTGAATCACATTTCCCCCCTAAGCTATATGGGTTCAGAATCTTTGAGCTTCTGGCATGGATATAACTGGCCAATTTAAAAGCTTGACTAGCTTCCCCTAATAAACCTGTGGTTTTCTCACCTGTCTTTAACATCCTAAGGTTTTTAATTTTTTTTTGCAGCTTTTTGAAATGAGTGATCATGTGGAAGAAAACTGTACTGAGAAAAACACTTCTACCCAGGAGGCACCTGCAAAAGCAACTGCTACTGCTGCCAAGGATTGTCCAATAACACAGAAGCAGCTGGTATGACTATTTTATCAATCAAGGTGCTTGTGACTGTTGCAGATTTTTTTGTAGAAAGAAAAAACTGGGCAAATGTGTATCAGTAATAGCAAACAGTAAATGAGGGAGAATGCAGTCAGTTAAGTGCAGGTAGCAAATAGAGGATTTGTGGCCCTTCAGAGTCTTAGCTAGGGAGGAAGAAAATAATTAGGACAGTCCTCTTGATCCTTGTAATTATTTCTACCCTAAGCTTTGTCAAATGTCCCTTGTGTTTAACATTTTAAACCAGACCCAGACCCCTTCCTGGTTTAAGATAAACCAGACACCCCCAGCATCTCGGCATGCTCTCTGGGCTGGGTGGGGTCTCTCCTTCACAGCAGGGCTCCTCTCTGCTTCCTGGCTGCAGCTCCAGAGACTGCAGGCTGATTCCTCCCTCCCCTCACCACTCCCTGCTAAGCAGGAATTCCCCCCTCCCCTCTGCTTTATGGAAAGGTGTCTGTGTATTAGCTAGCAGACCACCTGCTGGCTCCAGTCCAGTGGGTGCTGAATCAACAGGCAGAATCAACATGTAGCTGGTACTGTCCCTCTGTTGTTTTCTTAATGGGTGATAAACACTGTCATCAGTTCCCTGCTGAGCTAATCACAGCATCCTGCCAGAGCCTGGCCACATCCCCCTCAGCCACTACAGGCATGGGCCTGCTTTTCTGGGAAGTCTGTCCAGTTACAAAACCGATTTAGCCTAGCCAGGTTAGATTAACCTGCAAAGATTGAATTAATTCAGGCTCAAGATTTTTGAATGTCTGTCCCTAGCCTGAGAGTGCCCCCTGAAGCCAACCTGGTCTTTTGGTCCCCAGTCCTCCCTGGTTGTTCCACAGCCCTGACTCAAAGATCTAGCTTCCAATTCAGTTCCTGGGAGAACATGACTTTATTTCTTGTTGAGAAGAACCAGTGCAACATAAAGTTCCAAGCAGCCAAAATAACAGTCCTTGCCAATAAAATAATGTACTGGGGCAAAAACCACATAGCAAGAAGGTCTTGCTCCCTCCAAAGGGTTAAGCAGTTTCTGTGTTTCCAGTCCAGCTTATGCAGCCCTGAGGAGCCCAAAGCTACTCAGCTGTTCACATTCCAGTCATGCAGCTCCAGAGTCCCGAAACTACTCTGCTAGTCTCTATCTTCAGACCTTCGGTCAACACCCTGCTTGTCCATCCCTACTGCATCCATTGTCATGTTTATTTCTCTCTTTCCCCTGGATGCCTCCAGGGTGTTACTTGCAATCCCCAGCTTTGTTGAATTGTCAACAAAACTATTCAGATCTCTGTAGATCAGAGCTTTCCAAACTGTGTGCCGCGACACATTAGTGTGTCGGCGGCAGTGTGTAGGTGTGTCGCGCGAAATGCAGAAAATTTTGCAGAAGGGCACCGCGGAGCTCCCTTACTCGCGTCTGCTTCCCTTGGCCCCTCCCCCGGAACTGAATTACTGTGTCGCGAAACGATGCATGTCTAAAAAGTGTGTCACCAACATGAAAAGTTTGGAAAGCTCTGCTGTAGATGGATGTGTCTTCTGTCAATAGGCCAAAGACTCTGGCTTTGCTGTATCTATAGTGCATTTTTCCCAATGTTGGCTAGGGGAACCTGAGACATACAACATTACAGCACAAACATAGTTAACACAGAAATTTTACAATAAACCCCAGACTCCATTACAGTCGCATTTTATGCTCACATTGCACCTGCATTGCACAGGTGTAAATGATAGCAAAGACCTAGGAGAATAAAGTGTCTACTTCTTAAGCCCAGAATCTATTCAGCAGTTTCAATCCATTGTAAATTCTAACAGTAGTATAAGAGAATCTCTC